CACACACACACACACACACACACACACACACACACACACACACACACACGCACAGGCATCATGCGTGTGTAAAAAGTGTGCGTGTATGTGGTCGGCGATCTGACCTCTTTGGGCAGCAGGGAAATGAAGTCCCTCTGGAAGTGCGGCTGGATGAGCTGCATCACGTGCTTGAGATGGCCCGTTTCACACGCCTCAATCAAGTGGTCCAGCGCCAGCAGCCTCTCGGGTCCGCTCCACGCCTGCACACCAGGACACAATTGTCCACTTAACACAATGAACCAACACCGGAACAAATCTTCAAGTGGGATGGACAGATGGGCCAAAATTCGTTTTTATTTGTTCGGTGGGGTTTTGCTCATCTAGCTATGCCATTGACATATAGCGACAGGCAGAACAATTCAATTCCGCTCCACTAGATATCAGAACAAGACCCGTTCGTCCATTTGTAAGTGAATTAAGACCAGATCATCAAGATTTCAGTATTTACAAATTTAGTAGAGCCCCGGATTTTATTATTTTATTTTATTTTTTAGGCCGACTCTAATTTTTGGCAGAACAAAATTCTAGTAACTGATTGAGCCAATTGATTGACATAACTTGAAAAATGAACTGAATTAATGTTTACAGCAATAAAAGATGACAGTGATTCACAGTTTTACAATTCTTTGTTCTTTGGTTTTTGTTTACCTTTGACAACGGAGGGAAAAATCTGAACATTATCTTCGAATGTTATCATTCTTTCAAGTTGTAATGTGCTGTATTCAGGTGTAAAAAAAAAAAAAAAAAAAAAGAACAATAAATTGTCCCCACCAAAAACTCGATTTTAAAAAACTAATATCGGCCCATTATGTCCGTTTGCTGTTTAATCGGCCAGGCCCTAACCTTTTTGTGTCACTTTCATTTAATGGTGTGATTCCTCATGTTTAAAAAAAAAAAAACAGATCTAGTTGGATCTTCATCACTTTGAAATCACTGTACTCACTCGCGCACAAGCAACAAAAAAATGCTGACATTGGCATTCTTAGTCATGAATATTACGAGCAGCTCAGGCTGTCGTGTGTGTGTGTGTGTGTGTGTGTGTGTGTGTGTGTGTGTGTGTGTGTGTGTGTGTGTGTGTGTGTGTGTGTGAGAGACGCTCGGACACGCCAGCAAAAGAGAAGGAGGAAGGTGCCTGAAAGGTGTGAAGCCAATCTTGTAGACCGCGAGGGGGCGGGCCCGAGGTGACGCGACGCCTTTGAGCCGAATGCCCGTTGGCCAGCCGGAGCTCCCCAAATGTCGTGGGTGAACTCTGAACCGCTCCGGGAGGACTGCAAGTCGCAAGGAAGGAAGGAAGGAAGGATGGTAAGAAGGTTGGAAAAAGCCGCATTCGTCGACAGCCGATAGCATCCGGAAGTGCCGCGGTGCCCTAGCATACCAGAAATGAGCGTCGCCTCTGCAATGCTTCTTTACTGAGGAAAACGGCCGACCATCTGGACCGTAATCCAGCTTCCTCTTGACCTGAAGGGAAGACAGCAAGACAAGTATCACTCAGCATTTCCAACTCATAGGGACTTTTTAAAGCTTGGGTAACAACAGAGGTCACCAATGTGGTACCAGGTAGCCCCCAAGGACCACATGACTAACTTGCGGGGCCTTTCTAAAAATAGGTCATCGGTGATGGAACATTGTGATTTTCTAGGAAGGTTGCAGAAGTGATCGTTTGAAACTCTAAACACTGGTGAAGATTTATTGAAATAAAGTATTTATCGGTTTCTTAATCATTGCACAAAATTAACATGATCTCAACAAATGAGTTATTGATAAAAAAAAAAACATAAAACCATGATTAGAGGTAAAAACTGAGCAAATGTAATTTATTGTTGTTATTATTATTGTTTCAAAACTGTGTATTAAACTGGTGCCCAAGAAGTAGCGCTCCACAGTGGACCTACATAATTCCAAAAATATAAAACGGAAAATGCCATCAGAGTGACATCGGTAATGATGAATGATTGGGAGCACGGGGTCTGGAATTATATCTGCTCCATCGGATTCTGAATTTGAATTACTAACACCGAATTGCATTACCATCAAAATATTCAACATTGGGCTTCAAAACGTCACGTTTGAGTGGCCAGGACAGCCCTACCAGTCAAGGCTGCAGCATCCAACGGCAACCAATCACGTTGAAGCATGTTGGCTAACTGCTCCATCGCTTGCTTTGGCCTGGCCTCTCCGAGGAAGCCGGAAGTGACATTTTGCAGCCAATCTTGCGATTGAATGTTGAAAATTTGAAGCTGAAAAGTGCACATTGAATCTTTCATCGATTCACTTCACTGTCAGTAATTCAGAGTGGGAATATGATGGGCCAGCCATGCCATCTCAAAACCTTCGCCATCACGTGCGAGCTGACAATCACACAACAATCCCTCTTTTTTTTTTTTTTTTTGCCAGCGAGCATTTCAGACGAGAGCAATCAATCCGCAAGATGACATTCGGGTTATTGTCATTAATTGTCGTCGTTCTTGTGATTCTTGTCACGAGCGTTCTCCTCGTCCTCCAAGCCGCATTGGGCCACGCGCACGCGCACCATAAAGCGCCTCGTCATCGCCAACGCGCGCGCGCATCTCTCGGTTCATGTGGGTGGCAAATGTTTGCCGCTCGCCGGCTCACCTTGTAGAAGATGAGCTTCAAGGTCCCGTAGAAGCCCATGGCCGCGCCTCCGAAAGCCGCCAAGGAAGGAAGGAAGAAGCCTCCACAGCACGAGAGGGTCGTCTTCCTCTCGCGTGCGCGCTCACGACGACGCTCAAATTGGCTGCACCGACGCACCCCCGTCTATTGCATCCTGCGTTCAAAGACTGCAATTGCGCTTTCGATCCTATAGATGGCAATCTTTACCGGTACAGACGCTGCTTTTCTCACTGTCCAGAGCAGGGACGGGCAACTTTAAATGTCAGAGGGGGGCCAGCTATTTTCAACAGTGCTACTCCAACAGAAAATGATTTGAAGCAAACAACAAAGCAACCACTTGCAATATATGTTTTTTTCCAGTGCAAAGAGCACACATGAACATTCAAGGACAGCACAAAACTGCTTCCCTATTTTTGTAAATTTACGTAAAAATCAACTCACTCAAAAATGTAATATTATTGATGTACTATGTTTGCTGTTCATATCGTTGCTAATTCGGAAAAAAAATAGGCCTACTCACGTACTGTAGTATGAGGCAGTCCTGTATAAGAATCAGTCCAAGTGCAACTAAGGCAAGTCTGCCATCTAGTGGTGATTTGTGATATTACAACTACAGATGAACCCTGCATCTTCGCAGTTCGGCACCCTCGACATTATATTTGTGTGTGTGTGTGTGTGTGTGTGTGTGTGTGTGTGTGTTTGGGGGGGGTTTACTGTTTTTGCAGGATTTTGCTCCCCATTTTGCAACGCGGTCTGTAGAAAACGTATATTGTATGTTTGTCTGCACTTTTATGCTTTTTTGCAGTTCGCAGTTCGTAAAAAAATAAAAATACAAAAATGGTGTGTGTGGGGAGGGGGGCGCCTATGCGCTGAAGGTCGCCCATCCCTGGTCTACAATTAAAAAAAAAAAATACAAAAGGGTTTTAAGACATTGAGTTTCTCACCAAATTCACACTCTACACTACGCCAGCTTTCAAATGAGACCCCCTATGAAAAATGCGGTTGGCAAAAACTTCATACATACAACAGATTCACCTGAGTTTGCAAAATTATGACTTCTGAAGTTACCATTTTAAAAAAAGAAATACGTACTGTACCTCACCAAGAAAAAAAAAATGTAATGTTACCAGAAAAAAAGTCAGTTTTACCAGAATGAAATTGTCCTTCTTTGTGACAAAAGTTAAAACGTCACCAGAATTAAGTTGGAGAATCATAAGAAAAAAAATCAGAACTTTGCAAAAAAAAAAAGAGAAAGTGGGAGGAAGTAATTCGACGTCACAAAGCCAGAACATTATCAGAACAAATGGTGGAATTGAAGACAAATCGAGACGTATATTTTCTTGAGTCTTCATTTTGCAAGAAAAACTGCCAGGATTCAATTGTACTTTCTCAAAAAAACAAACCAAAAAAAAACTGACTCAAAACTTCTGAGAATAAAAGGGCATTCCAAGCAAAATCGTTGAAAGCCGAAGGCAAAACACTTGGTGGTAAGGCGAGAAAAAGTCAAACCGCATTTGAATGATGCAAAGCTCAAAGGTGCTTATTTGCCTTGTTCCTCTCAGGTCTGGTGGACGCTCGCAACTCCTCAAGTCCATGAGCAAAAGTGCACTTTTCGGCCAGTAGGGGGCAGCCTTGAGGGTGGTGGCGGTCAAACCAGCACGGCCGGGTTTTCAGGGCGCCGGGCGACAAAGCCGCCTTCCTCTTACCATGCGTCCTCTGGGGCCTTGCGTCCCGCCCGTCTCGGCT